TTAATTTTACTATCCAATTTCTATAAAAACACAAAGTCAAATTATAAAAATAAAATTAGCAATAACATTATATAATTTATTGTTAGAATTCGAATCTGATATATTACAGCAAGATCACTTGGAAGCATGGTATAATATTCATGTTTGGTCTTTTATAGACAAATCTTTCAATGAATTAGAAGGGATAGATGTTTCCAGAGGCGAATTGTATAGCCTTGCTTCGTCCAAATGCAAAAATATGAAAAGAGTAATTCAAGGATTAGCTGAAACAGCATGAAAAGTATTTGGGAGAAAAGGTGATTTGATATTAAGGAAAGGTGTATATGAATATGGTGCTTCTGAGGTAGGAAAGGACTATGAAGGAGACAATGGAACGAAATTACTTAAAGAAAGAGGATTAAAAAGTTCCAAGATGCTTAAGGACATGCTTGTAGACTTGGTCAATTTCATAAAGTAGGAAACAAACAAGTTACGCCAATTAGAGCTAGTTAGCTTCATTCATGCTGGTACGTATATTTTCTAACTGTCTATAATTTGACATGAAATATTAATTATATATCATTATACAGATCTTTTTATGGTGCTATTATGTATGGACGCTCCTGCTGGTTATGTTGTAGAATAACGAGAACAGATACTTTACAAATACCAACCAATGTTAAATGTTTTGATAAAGCTCTCAAATATATAGTGTTGACTTGGAAAGCAAAGGTTAATATTAATATTTCTGTCATTACATAAATAGCTGTCTAATATCAAACAATCTTCAAAACTTTAGATGATTGTCTGTAAAACAATCGATTTGTTGAAAGAACAAATGATGATGATAATGCATTGGAGGATTTGCAAGAAGCTGGTATCCGTAAGAATAAGGATTTGATTATTGTTCCTAACTGTGTTCAGATGCCATCTAAAAGCGAAAAACGAATATGTTAAACATTTAATACACTTAATGATTTTTTAACATGTGGAGCTTTTTAACAGAGTAAATACAATTATAATTTTTTGTTATGTATTACTATACAAAATTCACATTTGATGATTTTGAGATTATTGATATTTTGGATATGTGATTTTGACGACCTAAAGTAGTTATGCATTTAAACATAGTACCAGATATATATGAACTTTATTAAAAAAGTGAATTTTTGAGCTTGACGCTATAGTTGGCGGCCATAGGAAGACCTTCGTATAATTAGCTGTTTAAATCAATTTAATTTTACATTATTTATACAGGTTAAAGTACTTTTTTAACTATGAAGAATAAACAAAAAAGAAACATATAAAAAGTTTTATTAGGGTTGTAGGACCCAACCATTAAAAATAATCAAAATCATTTTTGGTTTTAGAGAAGTTAGCATAGTAATAACCTAATTCTATCTATCTTTAAGAAGTTGCTATTATGCTAACTTCTCTAAAACCAAAGATGATTTTGATTATTTTTAATGATAGAGTTCTTCAATCCTAATAAACCTTTTTATATACTTCTTTTTTGTTTATTCTTTATAATTTAATTTTTTTTAAACTGCTTTAAACTGTATAAATAATATAAAATTAAATAGACTTAAACAGCCAATCATACAAAATTCTTCCTATAGCCTATTTGCAGCAAAAAGATCTCAAAATCACAGTTAAAAGTCTAAATAACATCATATTATTATTTTTTTTTTGATTTTAAGGTAACCTCTTTGCCATGTTGCTCTTTATTCGAATATCAGTAGTATTTTTAACTGTCAGATATATCCTGATGGCTGTACATATTTGTTAGGTACAACTAGCCATACCTGTGCTTTTTGAGTGCCTATTTAAGTAGTCTGCCTATCATCAAGTTCTACACTAGATGCTGTACCTGCACCCTACTAGGGGGTTACTCATTTAAACCTTCTGCACCTATGTATCAATCCTTTTATATCCAAGCGATGATACTTAGTACCACCTTATTTTCACATATTGGCTTAGGGCTTTAAAGCAGTCACTATCACTTAAGGAGTTCTTTGATCTTGAGGTAAACCTGCTAAAGCCTTCTATACTCACATTTAGGCTAATCTAAGCTTCGGTAACTTACGTCTAGTCCAAGAACAAGTACTTGCGAGCTGAAGCCACTATCATTATCTATTTCTGCCCTTATAGAGTTTACTTATACCCCAGTCCCTATACTTATCCAATTGAGAACCCTTCCACTATTTCACCAAACTTCCAATTCAAATAGCCTGGTTTGGTCCACAAATTACGTTACCCACTTTCCTACTGGCTTAATCCAGATATTGGTCTGTAGTAGTAATAAAATAGGAGTTCTGGGTCAGTTTTCCGGTACTTCTACCCAATTTGACCTTCTATGAATACCTAGAACCTCAAATCAGATATTATCTACCTTTTACCTTTTCTGTCCTTCTAAGTATATCTAGAGCCTCAAATAGAGTATTAACCACTTTTCGGTATCTAAATTAAGCCTCTAAGTATATCTTAAGCCTCAAATAAGGTATCTACCTTCTTATACCCTATTTGGGGTTTTTTAGGCTTAAAACCTATCAAATACGTTATGATATCCTATTTGG